AAAAAAAATAAATATATTTTGGACCCAAAAATGACAACTTTAACCAACAAACGTTAATTCAAACAGAAGTTTAAAAATAAAAAAAAAGAAATGAAAAAAAAAGATTAAATAAAAAAAAAATAAAGGAAATAAAAAAAAAAGAAACAAATTAAAAGAAACAAATCAGGGGGTATAAATGGGTCATGGTACCCACGGTAAGAACGAAGTTCTTTAAACATGAGATGAGTATAAAGACACACAATTTCTCAGGTAACGAGGGAGTCACCAGACCCATAGGAAGAACGAAGCTCTATAAAAATAAGTACTGCATTCATGTAGTTCACAGAAACAAAAACTTGAAGAACGAATAAAAAAAAATAAGAAAATTTAGTTCAGTACTCACGATAGTTGAACTTCGTGAGTACTGTATTTATGCATGACGTACTCATAAAGTTCAACTATCGTGAAAACTAAACTAAATATTCTTATTTTCCTTTTTTTATTCGTTTTTCAAGTTTTTGTTTTAGTGAACTACATGAATGCAGTACTTATTTTTATAGAGCTTCGTTCTTCCTATGGGTCTGGTGACTCCCTCGTTACCTGAGAAATTGTGTGTCTTTATACTCATCTCATGTTTAAAGAACTTCATTCTTACCGTGGGTACCATGACCCATTTATACCCCCTGATTTGTTTCTTTTAATTTGTTTCTTTTTTTTCAAATTTCCTTTATTTTATTTTTTTTCTATTTAATCTTTTTTTTTTATTCCTTTTTTAATTTCATTTACTTTGATGCATAGCTTAAATGCCTTTCGATGTTATCGAATCACAGAATCAGTTTATTTAGTAATAGCAATCAAATCAAATAAACAATAGTGATAATTTTGTGTTCAATATGTATTTGTCATGCTTTTATAGTTGGACACAAAGTTAGGCAGCAACAGCTTTAAATATAAAACTAAAAATAAACTTTAGGGAAATCATGGCTAATAAAGGAGTAATCGAAGGGGAGACTTTTTGGATACCCTACAAGAGACGCGTAATATACGTTTATTCCTTAAACTGGAAAATCCAAGTGTAATGTTTAAAGTGTGTAATCGAAATTTCTGTTTCTTATAAAATTATAATAGTAGTCTTGATAAGCGATGTAAGAACAACCAAATCGATGCTTCGTAAACTATTTCACCTATTCTGTTAAACTAAACTATTGTTTTTCTTCAACAATTGGTATAAAAAGTCTGTAAAGAGTAAAACATTTCTGTCACAAATTGAATGGACCTGTAAACGTGTAAAATTTGTGATGAANTTTTAATAATTTATTTATTTATCAAAAAATTTATTTTATTCAATGATAACAGTAATTATCAGCATTATTTTATTGCCAAAAAAAACTTAGGTGTAAAAAAAAATCGGTCGGTATTTTATGCATGAAATGCATAAAATACTAATATTTAATGCGTAATAACGCGCCTTACTCGATTTAATCTACATAACCATATTTATGCCAATTGCATTTTTTGTTTTTTTTAAATTTGTTATTTTAAAAGAAATTTTTTTTTTAGGTGGAAGAGACTTCTAGTAAGCGACTTCCGTTTTACGGAAGTCTGTCGTTTTTAAAAGTCCAGCCCCCCAAGCACGCGACATAAAGAACTTCGTTCTAAAATCATATTGTAGCACTACTTTTGCTTGTATGTATAAATTACATGACTACCTACTAAGTTTTAACTTCCCAATAAACGCAGATAAATTTTGAAGACAATTTTAAAGCAAAGCACCTTTATTTTGATATTATTATATAACTCTTGTTATTATTATGCAATTAGTAGCTGTTTCAATCATCACTTATTGCTGTTTCGAGTTGTACTAGTTGTCTCACGTTGATGATTCATCAAACAGTTGAGTCTAAATAGTTTTTTCTTGCAATTTTGTTTGGAATCCCTTTATTTAATGTTACGTAATCATACATTTGAGTTTACTAAATAATTTCTTGAAGCTTTGTTGCAGTTTGATTATTTTGAATGTACATATGAGCTTATTTAAGATGTATTGATGTCCTGAATGTTCGGTTTTGAATGTGCTGGTACTAAAAAATATGTGTTAATAATACTCTATGCTATGTAATACTATTCTTTAACGGAGTAAACTTGTTAGGACTGTCATTAAAATTAATAAATTAGGATAGTTCAAAATGAATAAACATAGGACTAAGGACTATTTATTTTAATACAATTAAGTGAAATAACTCGTAAAAATAGTTTTTGTTGGAGTATCAAGGTAATTTTGGGATTTGTAACAATTATCTTACCCGTAAAATGAAAATAAATAATTCAGTTAAATAGAGAGCAATAATTCAATTCAGTAAATTAGCACAATTGGATAATTAATCTTCAATTAATTAAAAACATTGTGTTAGAGATAAGGTACCAACAAGCAGCCTCTATTTTTGAGCATCTCAATGGAAGTTGATGACACCGAGAAATTCATGGTCATTGCCAAGTGTCTTGGCTTCGGTTCAGTTTAGAATGAATGAAGGAAAAGCGATCACGCTTCACCGATTATACATTGTACTATGATCTATGAAATTAATCGCAACAGCTTTTCGAGAGATGATTTTACAGACTTAGCTTACAACAGTTAGAATATGATTTCTCGAGATTTTTGAAATCCCCATTTTTTTCTTCCTACTCCCTCAATTCATGCAAGTCTTATGAAAGAAATCGATAGCAACATATATACGGTAGAAGAGAAAAATACAATTTTTTTGGGACAGTAGGGTAGATTTGTGTAAAATCAACTAATTGTTTCTAAAAATATCTTTTATGATGTATATTCGTAGTTACAATCACAATTTTTTTCTATAAGTAGACTGTCGTCTTTATTTAACAATGTATTTCATGATATGACACTATTTTTATACTTCATACTCCTTGGTATGTTTATTTATTTGTTTTGTTTTTTTTTTTCTTTTTTCCGTTTAGTAGAAGGCGTCAGAAGTCATAATTAATTGATAAAACTATCAATTACTTAAAACGAAGTTCAAGTTATCTTATCAAATTCCTCAGTATGTTTATACTTATTTTTTATAATTATTACCTCACAAAAATGCAGTTGTTTATTATGAAAATTACTTTGAATGTGTATTCCTGTAATTAATTTTTTTGTTCTCATGTCAAGAGATTCGTGTCTCTAATTTATTTTTTATTTTTTGAGATAAAACTTTTTTGGAATGTTATCTTACATCACAGGTTATCAATGTAATATTTTTTTCTTCTTTTGCTCTCATTTTTCGTTACTGTAATTCATTATTTCAATCACTACAATTTTATTTGCTGCCACTGTTTTAAAGGGCGCTCTTGTTAACCTACCAATGCAACAAGTGTTGAGGTTTCTACATTAGTATTGATGCGACAACTGCATATTTTTTATTGGTATACATAGAAAAACATTTTTCTAATTTTTTTCCTAAAGACAGTATTTTTTTCAAATGATTACTTAAAAATTCGGGTTTTCAAACAGCAATTTCATAATTTCTGAGCCCTTAATTAGTTTCTAGATCTAGACACTTCATTTTTAAATTAGATATTTCATATTAATTAACTTAAAACTCAATGTTGTACATGTAAATTTGTTTTTTCCATTTCAATTGAAAAATAATTCATACGTTAGAAAAAAAATTTTGCTGTAAATAATTCCATAAATTGTTTTACTGATATGGAATACCACAGGTTTTATTAAATGATCCACAAACTACATAATTAAAATTTCTTGATACATCAGCATACTTGGTACAAGTAAGTGACAATACTACGCGTTTACAAAACGAATGAAAAAACTTTAGTAACATTGCTTTGGGTAAACTCATTAAGATAAACTATCCAATTATCATACGAGCTCTTTATAAATGTGTTAGTACTTTTTTACGTAATATTTACCAAGTTTAATATTACATTGATGAGAATTACATTTTTAACATACTAACATGGAATGCAACAAAGCTCCGTAATGATTATAAAAACGTATGTAAACATAGAATAAACGAAATACCTCATCGACTGTGTGACACCAGGTGTAATGAGAATCACGAGATCATGTTGAGTACCCGCGCGACGCAGCGAGTGTGCTAAAACAAGTGCGCCTAGAGAATACGAGTCGTTGGTGGCCAACGTTACCCACGCAAACGCTGAAAAATATAAAAAATTACTTATTAGAAAGATCGTCATAGCAAGCTTATATCTTCTTAAAATAGTTTTGCGCTAACCAAGTGTGCAGCTATTATCGTTACACTTGCATACTTGTATGACCTAACAACTCGAGCTATTTATTCAATTAAGTCGTCACATCAATCAATAACAATCATATTTAAATCCGTCATGTTAAATTACATTTATGAACGTAATCTTCCTTAACTTGGTAAACAGCAAGTTTCATTTGAAAATAGCCTCTTTACCACAAAAATAAAAAATGTTTTTAACATTTAACTCACTGCTTACGTGAAGGTATGTAATGAAGCTATTATGAAATATTCCATGTAAAAATCGTACATAGTACTTATTCTATAAAAAATTTATATCAATAATCAAACAAAAATTATGTCATAAGTATACAAAAATTTGTTAAACGTTATTTCATGAAATCAATACCAAATATTCAAGAAAAATTCGAAAAAATCGAAAGTATGCAAGAGAATTTAATGAAAGTTACTGCCTCAGTTAAGTTACTTATTATTGTTACTGAGCTTAATTGATGAAATAATACAAATCTATAGTCGGAATATAAATGAGGAATTTATTTTGATAAACAGTAGTTAAAGTAATTTTTGTAATCTTTGATTTATCTTCACTTAAATAGACAATTTTATTTACAACTCCATTAAAACCATTACTTTTTTTTATATTTAAATAATGTTTATAATCAAATCCTGAAATAAATTTCCTGATTTCGGGGGAACACATTTCCGTCTAGGTACAAGATTAAATTTACTATACCCATACAAACGATTCATAATAGGTTGCATTTGTTGATTAAGCAAAAAAAAGCATCACTTCTGTATAGCAGCCTTGTCGAAATAAGATTTTGTTTTTAGAAAAAAAATTAAATTTTGAATATTAAAATATGAAGTATAATATTGGCGTATCTCCAAACGGTCATTTATTTTTAGATAAACATGTAGTATACACTTTAAAGTGTCGCAATTTCAACACGTCAAAGAGCATACGATTTCTTTTTTTATACCTTACGATCGAGCTTCTTCATAAAATGGACTTTATACTTTAAACGTTGACGTTAAACATTTGCTATTCCGCTCAATACTTTTTAGGATGAATAAATATTATTCTTTCTACTTAGACAAGTTAGTTGATATTTCTTACGTTGTTAAAATAACATATACTATAACTTCGTCTGACTATAACGTAAACATTGTAAAAAATTAATTTAAAAAAAAAATTTTTTTTCGAGAATTGTTCGCTGTTATCCTNAAAAAAAAAAAAAAAAAAAAAAAAAAAAAAAAAAAAAAAAAAAATGCAGCGAGAAAAATAGGCCTCTCGAAGAAAAATGCCGATTTCTCAAGCCTATACGAAACCCTCTTTCTCTTTCTAAGGTAGAAACGTATAATAATAATAATAGTAATGAAGCACGAGTTCAACGACAAATTAAAAATCATTGAGCATTAAAATTCTTTAAAAACTTTACTTTTATGTATGTCGAGTAGTTCAAAGAATTCAGACGATATCAATGAGTAACAGCCGAATGACGTAACAAGTTCCATCAATTACAAACGAAATAGATATTCGATAAATCAAATAATAATTCTCAAAAGCGCTTCTCAAGATGCCCACATGAGTATCAAGCTACAGAGACGTACGTATCGTGCAATGCCTTTTTAGTGGCTTGAGTAGGGACTGGTTGCATGTATCTCCTCAATCGGTTATCTATCAACACGTAGAGTGGTTTTTGTGTGACATATTAGCGTCTGCTTGGTATTAGGTTGCATTAATTTAATAATAAGCATCTTTATTTAGATATCACGTTGCGTTAGAGATCCAATGATCAATAAATAAAATTTTTTTAACGTTTCGCCTTTTGTTATTACATAGCATAATATTTTTTCAACTTCTTTGATTAATCTTGCTAAGTATGAGAACTGTGCTTAACAAGCGTATCGACTCAGATCGAAATTTCTTCACCACAACATCGTGCAATTACAGGACAAGTGTCTGGTATCGAGTGTATATTTTTTACACATCGGATAAAGATATTTCTAGGCACGTAAGGAGATTCATACATTTTTGTGGGGGTGTCTGTGAGTGCGGGGCTCCTATAAACGCTCTGTGACAAAGTAAGTTGTACTAACCGTACCTAAAACGTTCGCTTCGATCATCACTCAACTTACACTTTCTCAAAAGTTCGAGGGTAAGAACTCGCCAATAAAATTGTAACAAGTACTTTAAAACGGTTATCTTTTAATAGGAGGAGTCAGAAAATTCGACAACACGTTGTTGGGGATACGAAAAATTACCTACAGAAAGTACGAGGAATTTTAACTACCACAGATGAAATAGAATATTTTTCAAGTATTCTTATGTTTGCGGTGATTGTAAAAAAATGACTGTTAAAGCTTTATTTTTTTCTTGACATTTTGTATCTTCCTTTTGTTGAAAATAATGCTCAATTAACACTCGTGGTTATTTTTGTGGGAAAAGAAATTCACATACTCTATAAAAAATTTTCTATAAACATTGCAACTATTGATATATTTAGCCTTCTTAATGTATGTAAGGCGATAAGCAATGTAATACAATGATCTCGTAGACTTTGAATCAATAGAAACAAATGTATGTTATGCAACTAAAAGTAAGCATGAAATAGTTTGTATTATTTGCAAATTTCAGATTGTTAACTTTAAATTAGTAGAATAATATTTATGACTTTTTGTGAGACGTGTTTAACACTAAGAAGGTATACTTGAAAAAAAAATTCGGACTGCAGATAAAAGTTTACTTGATGGGTATTATATGGTTAACGTGTTAGTACTGAATTATTCTCAAATTTTTAGCATATCTAACCAGAAGTTTTAGAAAATGATCGACTTTGAAAGTTGAAGCCTTCAATAGTGGGGTCCATGGGTAAATGAAACATTTTTTTTTTTTCCATAAAAATTGGATTCACCTCCACCCAAGAGATTTTGTCAAGAAACTAAAAAGGTGTTGTGAAGACTGTTTGAAATAATAATAACTAAAGTAAGGTAATAGTCATCTTGATTTATTCACGATAACGGACAAAAATGTGGATACCATGAGATTCATCACATTTTTTTCTATGAGAAAAAATCACTTTTTAGCTGTGGAAGACCCGTGCAACAGCCCCTTTAATGGGTACCATGTTTACCAACTCCTCATGTTTTTCATTTCATGTAAAAATAAAAAATATAACAAAAAAAAAAAAGAATCACTGTACAATAAACATCCGTCCAACAACATTCGTATTTATTATTCCACGTCTGATTCGTTATTCTTCCGTACAGTTTCTAAAAATTACACAAGTGCATAAACACGTGTTATTCGCCGACGAAAAGGTACAAGTATAGAAGGGAGGAGGAAGGAAGATACTTAGGTTGGTCAACAGCAGGCAGGCAGACGTAGATCGCGTCTGGTGATCACACAATACACAATGCGCAGTTTCCTTGACGAAGGGTGAGAGGGAGGCCGGGGTGAGGGCAGAGATGGGATCCATACATACAGGAATACACTCGCACGGGACCCAGGTCGCTTTTATGCTCTCCGAAGCGTCTCGCCGGTCTGTCCGGATATTGTGATACAGTGGGCAAGCAAGCCCGCCGAGACGGGAGATGTATACGCGTGCAGAAGAAATCCGAGTCGCTCTACGCACGGGCTGTATGTGTGCATAATATATGTGCGTTGTGCTGGTACCGATGTGTACATATATATAGGTATAGCTCGCTTCGACGATTTCCCCGTGAAAACCTTGCGGTCTCTCTCCGTGTACAATTGTAGGTAAGTTAACTACAGACGACCGGTAGCGCGTGCCATTCTCGTTTTTTTGTTCTTTTAAAGAGCGGATGAATTTTCGTTTTGTACGCATTTGTCACTGCAAAGTTGCTCACTTGGACTTGCGTGTACGCTACACAATATTTTTCTCTCTTTGTTTTTTTTTTTTTTTTTTTCGAACGAGGGTGTACTGTGCTAAAACATCGGAAAAATAGGCAATGGGTACCGCAGTTCACTCCCTTTGTAACGATAATAAATTGATATCGCATTACGCGAGCAGTCCAGTACACACATTACCACGTTAGATTTCGATGAGTCAACTATATACTGTGAAATGTTTATAGTACGTGTGGTGGAAACTGGACGCAAGTCACCGTTGGCAAACTATCGAAAAATCTTTTATCGGAGGGTTGTGTGAGTGTTTTTCGCGGGATGGGTATAATATGATCGTCTTCTTTTATTTCGAGTACATATTCCGCGCCGAGCTTTTATTTAAAAAGTCCCCCAACGCCCGCGGACCAGGATATACGAAATTGTCGTGCACCACCAGGTGTCGGCTTAAGCGAGAGCCTGAGCGGTTGTTTGTAATAATAGCCGCGTGGATGAGAGCCACGCGCTCGTGTACTCGATCATAATATATATACTTACTTACGTGGGGCGCTAAAATAAAAGATACGCGTTGCATGCAAAAGCGACACCGACAGCGAGTTTTCTTCGTGGCGGGCTGGTCGGCGCTGTACTACTGATCGACTATTTTCGGGATGAGGCTTCTTAGATTTGTATAATACAATGATAGGTGATTTAAATGACTTTTACAATTTTTGCGGAAAGCAGTACAATGATGTTATATTATCGTTTTTTTGAAATGAAATAGGATGCCCGAAATACTCTTTGTATAGCAATTTCATGTGCATTTGATAAATTTTATTTCTTCATATTACTTCTTACAGTGATTTTCCATTTTTTTTAATATCATAAAGTAAAATTTATCATTTTTTTTTTTTGGCACGACAACAATGCATGAGACTCGCTCGTGTGAGTGTTTTGTGTTTTTGTCAGAGTCAGAATTATCATCAAGTCATAATTTAATGCAAAACTAATTTTAAACCTAGAGTATGGGAGGCTCACATTGTGTATACATAAATGTAAATATGTGAATGAAAATATAATCAATCTGTTAGATTCACTCGAGTAATTATAATTCGATTGAGTACAAAATTTTTATTTCATTATCAAAGCTAATGGTTCACATTTGAACAGATTTTAGACGAAAACTACAAATATTTTTAGTATGTGGTGCGAAAAAAAAAAAATTTTCGGATACAACTTTAAACACGTAAATTTCTCAGGTTTTAATTACACTATTAAGTTATAGATATTAATAAATTCGAGTTTTCTGCCACGCATAATATGTATAAATTTTTACTTACTTTTTGTGATGTGTATTTTTTTTCTATAGTGTCATCTCCTGATGCTCTTAGTGGCAAAAGTCGTTTGGAATCCAAAAATTTTTTTGTAACGCCCAATTTCTTGTAACTTTTACGAAAAAGATGTTAAATATAAAACTTGTTTATTAAACTGAACTTGAGAAGCTAACTTAGAACCCTGACACTGTCTACGCAGACATAAGAAGTTCAACTTCACACATTGAGCATCGAAAAATATGGATTAACTTGCGCACGCAGTCATTGCCACAATCGTGTTATTTTTGCACTCGTACGAAAATAATCAACTTCATGCATTCGTTACGTAATACACTATTTTATTAGTTTTAAATCACGAATGTTACGTTAAAAGTGGCTTGACTTTTTTGTGAAGGTATTATTTTGTCGAGTGAATTTTAATTGAGACATAAAAACAATAAAACAATTTAGACATAGTTTTAAATTTATAATAAATTTGATTTCTCGATCAACGCAAGTTTTCTCCTTTTTTACTTTAAAATCATCATGTAAATCAAAGCGTTTTTTGTATTTGAAAATAAAAATATCAACTTTCCAGTTATTTCAATAGAAATTTTACTTTGCAAACATTTGCATTTAAGAATTATAATCTCCATGTCATACATGAAACTTCAGATTCAGCAATGTATAAATAGCATCTTACATTAGAGGTGAGTTTAGTAGACAGAGTCTAATTATACACGGACTGGAGATTCAAAATAGAACTTATCCCGAAACGCAATAAAATTAGAAACTAAATACTTGGTTGCCTGGTATGTTGCCCATTTTTTTGTCTTACGTTTGCCGAAAATAAATATAACTCCGGTCACCTCAGTCGGGGGGTACAAAGTACATATTTTGAACAAATTCAATGAACAAAACAAAATCTTTAAAAGCAAGCTCAAATTTAGTTTTATTTATTCAAAATGCACTCTATAAATGTTTGTTTTTATTCACACTGCGCGTACTCAATTATTTTAATACTTATGAATAAAAGTCTTTTCTAAAAATGTACCGCATCACTTTTAAATTTATGGCTGTTGATAACATAGTACTCATTGAAAGTTTTGGCAGGAAGTTTGATTCCAAATATTTACACATTAGATTTATTTTGTTGGAAAAATTTTGTTCGATACTGCATTACAAGTAGTAGAAAAAAAAATTTCTAGCAAAAAAGTATCATATTGCTCACAATTAATCGTTTAATTGACTTAATTGTCAAAAGTATGCAACCAAGTTTGTATTGTATAATAATTCAAAGACAAAAATGCATGTTCTTTTAAAACCTAGATCTCATGAAAAAAAGCAAACAGACCTAAAACAAAAGCCGAAATCATAGATAAAAAAAAAAAACAATGCAAAGTACTGAAACGCGGCAGAGCTCGAGGACCCTTTCCCACCGCGGCTCACCAGCAGCTAAGAATAAACTTGGAAGTGGATGCCGGCGCTTCTCGCTTATCGCATTTCTCCGTAAAAAGGGCCCTATTTTTGCTCGCCTCCAGAGTCTGCGAATAGGACGCTCTTCGGCAGTACGAGCTCCAAGCTTGATAGTATACGAGGGCAGTCTGAAAATTTCACGCGCACGTGCGAGCGATTTGCAGACGGAAAGCGTCAAAGAAAAGCTAGGGGGTATAATTTTAATGAAGACGCATATGGAGATTTCGTTCTGACGATGATACGAGCTCTGACTGATGACGATTTTGATGGAAAGACACGAGGCGAAATAGATCATGCGTTTTCTTTGAGGCAGTAACTCTTTTTCCTCTTTATCGCTCATCACGTCAAGTACAATTGCTCGTTTCGCATACCTACATGTTATGTTACAGCAAAATATTACAGTGTGTACGTGTGATAAAGCATTCACTATTCATAATAAAACTATAATCAGAACTGGGTGAGAATAGTCGTTTAATTTTAAACATAAATTTACTTGGGTAGGGAATTCAATGCGGTTAATAATATTTTTAGGAAATAAAGACATTACCTTAAAATCAATCTTACAGATATTTTAACATTTGTCCTTATTTGTATTTCTCTGAATCTTTCTACCTTCTGTGACTCTATCATATTTATACGCGAGAGCATAATCGTCTACTTAATAAATTGAAGTCAAACGAAAGTTCTCGAGATAACGTAAGATCAAACGTAATGCTGTCCTATCGCTTTTATTTATTTCACATATACGGCAGTACGTGGGCCATTGTTAAATTGGGTCCCAAAATTATAAAAATAGTCAAATTGGTTTCCAGTGCATGGGATTGTATAAACTATGAAAAGAAAATAGTGGGTTCAAAAAGTTTGGAAGAAAACAAGCGGACATTGATCATGTAACCAAAGTTAAAATTTACAAAAAACTTCTGCTGGCCAATAATAGTGTTGAGAATATAACTGCTGTCTTTTATTGATATTGTATTTGCAGATGGGATCTTTTACAGCTGTCCCAAATTTTTTCGTTCGGTATTTATAATACTTAGGTGGATGCCCCAGTACTCGCTCACTTAAGCAGACGAAATGTCCCAATAGTCGGTCACTTTTTTTTTTCGTAGGCCTTCGTTATATTTTCAACTGGGTTTATACATTAACTTGTATTGCTTAGTGTCTGAATAGCTATACCCGATTTATATTTGTATTGAAAATTTATAGTGAAAAAATCAGCCAAATTATCGGCTATTGGGACATGACCGAGTACTGGGACATCCACCTTTGGCTAACGTGACAACATTGACACTCCACTTGTTTTCTTTATACTTCCTGACAAATCTGCGCGATCGAGTATGAATTGGCACTTTCACGTCACAATCAGAATTTAAAAAAAATTGACATTTATAATAAAATGTTTTGGATTATCTTTTTTTTTATACCCTGGCATCCTTGATGATTATTTTATAGAATACTTAATGGCTATCTGTGCTGAATGAATTTTTAAAATATAATTTATAAAAATGAAGAATTGTTAAGGATGTCAACATTATTTGAACACGCTAGCGTTGAAGTGACTGTCAGTTTGAAGCCTAAATGAAGTATGACGTAGAAATTGTTGTCGCACTCTTCCAGTACTGAACTCGTGTTATTACAGCGGCATGTTTGTGGGGTATGGCAAATCGCAAACTTAAAGCTTATGTACATATAATTTTCTAACTGCGGATATTAATAACCCCGGAAGCAACTCTACTATATTTCCTCATGATTCAAAAACCAATTTTATACCTCCGAGTCCGTGTATCCTATTCCCATAGGACAATTAAAATACGCTGATCGAGGTTGGCTTGATTTTTTTTTCAAATGCTCTCAAACGCAAGTTGATTTTATCATTTATTAATTTATTTAATTTTTTTAAAACGATCCATCGTTTTTACGTTATAACTTTTTTACTGTTTCTATTTCTATTAATAATTATGTCACAATGCATGATAAAATTTTTTCCGGCAAAAAAAAATTTCAACAAAAACCAAGCACTTTATTGTTAGAAAAAAATAATTTTCCTCCAAAGTGTTTGAAAATTAATATAGTAATTGTGATCGAGCCAGAACGAAACTTGTGCATCTTAAGAGAATTTTTGCAAACGATTATCAGTTACATTATAAAAAATTATTTTTCGCAAAAATATTTTCTATTTGTAAAAAAACGCGTGCGTGTATCGGACCGATGCTGCAAATCGTTATATATAAGTATCCAACACATTTTTAGTCCAAAATTTATTGAAATAATTACCACTGCTAAAAATATCAATAACAATCGAAGAACATCGTCAGAAACGCCTGTGAGACAACAACACACGAGTACAGCCAACGAACGAGGTAAACAAAGCGTTGGCTGGCGCGCAACCCGTCGCCTTAACCAACATTGAAACATCCTGGAAAATCGTGAGTGTAACAAAGACTCGATTCGCAAACCGCTTGCTGATAACATTTCAAAAAAAAAAAAAAAAAAAAAAAAAAATGCAGCGAGAAAAATAGGCCTCTCGAAGAAAAATGCCGATTTCTCAAGCCTATACGAAACCCTCTTTCTCTTTCTAAGGTAGAAACGTAAGAAAAAACATCTGTCATAAGGCGAGGATATGCGCACACGCACACGTCTTGACAATATTAGGCGCACGCGTTCCGAAAAATTCGACTGATATGGATCGCCGAAGGGAAGGAGGCCCGCAGGTCGTAGCCCTCACTCCCGTGTACAATCCGGCGAGAATCTAATGCAAGTCACTTACTCGTACGCGTCACCTTTTCCACGTTATTAATCGATCATCCAGAGAGCAGCCCGACTAACAAGTATCAATAAGCTGTAATGAAAAAAAAAATAAAAAAAACAATGTGAAAGCGTAAATATAAGAGGAGAATCCGTCCTACAGAGAGGCGTTTCGGGCTTCGGCGGGCGGACGGCTTGAAGGTCATTGGGTCAAGACCGGTTGCGCCCAAAGCTGTGCTACAACGATGCGGTGACGACCAAAGTAAGTAGTACTGTTGTAGATCGATCGGTTTGTGCATCGAGCACTCAGACTTTTCATTTCCACGAGTTTCTTACTTAACCGAGCAACCAAAGTTACATCTCTCGGGAGTCTTTGTATTGTGAATCAAGGCAGTTGCGAGATGTTTTTCATGTTTTTCTTATCACAACACCCGGCAGCGATCGAGAATAAGAACAAACTTACCGCCCATGATCAACGGAGTTGAACGAGTCGGTCGCCTGTCCTCGGCAAGTATTTGTCAGGAGAGTACGGCCCGGGGCCTTATTTCCCGAGACCACAAACAAGATGAGCACTCTGCCCCTCTGGCTGGAATCACCACTCAAGCAAGTGTTCTGACTCTTTGACGGTGGGAAAAAATTATTAATATATGATGCGAGAAAGCGTGGGATGTGTATCGTGCGAGTGGGAGAGCGAGCGGTCCACGATCGCTCCTCGTCGGTGGGTACTGCGCGAGTGAAGAGCCACGATTATGCTGTGCACGCCGGCCGGGCTGGTGCTATGGGGCAACAAGATTGGTCCACGACGGTGTCGATAGAGCAACAACATACAGCCGAGCGGATGGTAAGTACGCGTGTAATCGGCGAAATTGACTTAGCGATCGTCGGCATCTTCAGCGGATTCGGCGGCGTACGTGGTATGGTCGGCTGAGGGGACAGATGGCGTGGGTAGTAGATGTAGACGCTTTGAACAGGAATAAAAAGGGTTAAGGAGATTTGGGTGAAACGTTTAAAATGTAGAATCGTGCCAAAAAAAATTTATACCATGTTTGAGAATGAAGTGCACATGAGTTTTTTCAGATTCTTCACCATGAAAATTTTCCAGAAAATAATTATTAAATATTGACAGTTTAAAACGGTCTCTTATTGAAATGAGCTCAATTTGCCTTTTAATTGAAATAAGGATACATTATAAATGTGTTGGATTTAAAAAAAAAAAAACGTTTTTATAGATACCTTAGTACAAAAGAAAGATGCTGAACAAAAAATATAACGACTCACCAGGCATTTTTCAAAAATATAATCAATTACAGTTGTACAGTTTGAAGTTTGTAGAGTAAAAAAGGAGGTGCACGGTAAAAGGGGTACATCTGCGTGGGTAGGAAGGCTTCCCCATTCCTCACCCCTCTGAATGAGACTCCAAAACCTTCTTAATTCTTTTACGTATCTACTTAATACGGTCTTCGATACGGTCTTCACATTGACAACGAGTGTCTAAAATGGATAAAGAGGATTCATTTTCTTGCTAACTCTAGTTAAAATTAAGAATCATGTAATAGTTATAAATGAAATAATCATTCCTCAATTTTTATTATTAGTGTTGGGAGAAAATTAACAAATCAGACTTAATTAACTTTATTATCATCCTTTTCAACTTTCAAAAATTACCGAATCTTACAAATTAAACAAGCTGGCAATCCGGGGAATGTATGCAGACGTTAAATCTTAATAACTAGTTAATATATACGAGATGGGCTTCACCCCTCTACGTGCTATACGCTCCAACCCCCCACTACCAGATAATGGTTAAATATAAAAACACGTACTGTATTTGAATTACAATATCTTCATTGTATCACAAAATCTTGGAATTTACATAAAAAAATAACAGAGTGAGCTCCACTATGACGTCAAACACTTACAAATTAAATAAAATTTGTATTTTTTATGATTTCTAATAGGACATAAAATTCATCGAATTGATTTTTTTTTTACTTGTACGTGCGTATAATTTTCAAACTTTGGCTGTGTTTTTCCCTTTTATATGAATACTTACATTTTTAATTATCTGTCTTGAGCATACTTGAAAAATCCAATGATTCTTTTTGTTATCTTGTTCCTTAAAGTAGTAGTATAAGTTTAAGCTGTTTCAATAAACACATCGAGAAATCATCCACACTTACAGCGTAGTTTCAATGAAATAAGAAAAGACCTTGGAAAATTATTGAAACAAGTCAATATTGTCGAGAAATAGATTTTCAATAACAAAAAACATTTAACAAATTTATAACTTAAATTAGTCAAAAAAACTCTTTTTATTTATATTAAATGAAGTACGAGGAGCATGATAATTAGTCAGCAAAAATTAATTCTTGATTTGATAATATTTCTGAGGAGGCTAGAGCCATAATGCTACCTTTTTAGTAAAGACCATTTTTTACTTTGGTTTTGATTTCGAAAAAAATAAGTTGAAAAAGTTATTAAAATAGTTTCATAGAAAATTTTGAGATCATAAAAATTGTGTCTTCCTTCATATGAATAAAATTATGAAATCTGAAGATAGATTTTGCCATGCTCATTATATGTATCAATGCAAATAATAGATGCTTTTTAGCAACATTAAAACAGTGAAGAAATTTTATTTCATAAACCAATGTTTTAAATAATGTTTATTCAATCAAACAGTAACTACAAGTTTCTTATTTCATGCAAACAAAATAAGAAAACTTTAAATATAGACGGACTTGTTGATCAAGTCAAACTTTTTGATGTAAAAAATAAGTTTTTACTATCGATTTTTTAAGGAAAAAAATGTATCTATGGCTTGGACTAGTACTGAATTTGTTTAATTTCCAAAAAGTGTGACCAGCCGTAAGACTTATAATTTACATTTACATGTAAGCAATAGTGAAACACTTTCATAAAGATCAAAATTTTACTTTATGCTTGTATATTTTGTACAAAAACAATATAAGTATACATTTAATCGTAGTTGAAACATTGGTAAATACCTTCGTACTCTGCCTGGCAAGAAATTCGCAACCTCGCAAAATAATGAGTGTCATTTCACCTGTTTTTTTGCTCATTTATGGCAATGACAGTCGATTGTTAGGGAGGTCGTGAATATATGGCTAGCTAATGTACATGAAAAATTAAAAAGCTCATTGGTTCAGGTATATCGATTGATATCCTCACAGCTTTTCATGAACATTGGTTTAGTTCCTCAAATTTCTAATTTTTTCTGGTTTTACAGTCATTCAAGATATTAGTGTTAGTGAGATAAGCCTCAATTCGTGTAGCCGTATGCAAATCATTATCAATTTCATGAGATAAGTAATGTCTCGTTTTGAAAAAATTATAGATAAAATGTCACTGTTCAAAAATGGGTTCAGCTTTCAATTGTCAGAAAATTTTGAATACGTTAAAAAAATTAGGGTTGTGTATGTACAGTAATTTTTAAATGAATTATCTGCTACTTTATTTATCTCATTGATGAGAAGTTACTTGATACATTAGGATTTATATTACGGTATTTTTAAAAAGTAAAAATTTATGAAGTTGCAGAAAATTGAAGTTGAGGAAAGAAAAAAGGATGTACGCAATAACGATAATTGGTTTTATGTGTTTCAAATAATCTCTTACAGTTCTCTAAAATTACAAAGTTTTTTAAGGTCGTATAATCTTATATAGCTGCGCTCAAATACGAATATACAAAATATATACATGTACAAATATAACAAAATGATCAATAATATGTGTGTTTTCGATTCTGAAAGTAGAAAAAAAAGCAATTTTTGTAATTGATGAAAATTTACTTTTTTTTTTTTTCATTTTTTTTTTACATAAATATTCAAGAAAACAAATATTATATAAGACACGAGGGCGCTTTTTTCTACTATGTTAATAAAATGAAATATTTCAAATCTCAAATAAGATGTATAAAAAATATCATAAATCATGTGTAAGGGAGAAAATTGTTTAATTTTTTTAACTGATGAACGGCTTTTTAGAACGAAATTCTTTATGTCACGTGCTTGGGGGGGCTAAAGTTTTAAAAACGACAGATTTTCATGCAACAGAATTAATGTTTCATTCAATTATAACTTTTTTCCCCACAGTAACTTTTATTCCACTTTAAATTTTTTTCTTCTACAATTCTAAAAAAAAAAAACAGTCTCCAGAGAGATGTGAAAACCCCCGATCTTCTGCACGCTGATCATTTCTCTTGCCCACTCTGCTATGAACGTGCCCAACTTAAAATATTCAATTACTTTATTTTGTTGTACTGCTCGTTCCTCTGTGTATTCATTCGTTTGGTTTGATTATACATTGAATAAATAGATAATTTATTTAATGAAATTTGTTTTTTTAGGTACATGTTTCAAAAATTTCGAAATTAGTATATAATTGAAATAAGGATACATTATAAATGTGTTGGATTTAAAAAAAAAAAAACGTTTTTATAGATACCTTAGTACAAAAGAAAGATGCTGAACAAAAAATATAACGACTNAAATTTTCAAAATTTAAAAAAAAATTCTTTCGTACTGTACAAATACAACAATTAATTTTTATTGTGTTTTATTCTTTTAAAATTTTTCCGTTTGTGATTAATGTGATTGTTTGATTTGAATGCGTTCTTCACATCGTTACCGGGGGAAAAGTTCACAGAAGTGAGAGGAGCACTAATGTGTGTAGTAAAGCTAGCAACTGTTTTTCTCATGTGAATGTACTTATGTACATGCTTTTACGCACACTTCATCCCCTCTTTCTTAATTTATTTGAAGCCAACTTGTGGGTCGATTTGAAAATTCGATAGGTTTATCTGAAAGAAATCTTTCATACCCGAAAATTTGGGAGATTCCTACAAATCATATAAATGCCATTTAACGTTATTTTTTGACAAGGTTACATATTAAATATCGATTTTTTTAAATGTAACATATATAAAATAATGGCACAGTCAAACGAGCTGCAATTTTTGTGGGTATTTTTTATGCTATTTCGCTATACGTTTGCTATTTAAATAATATCTGTCAAATAACTCATGTATGATTAACGTCCTAATGGGAAATTCACTGGCATGTATTCCATTTAAGAAAGCCGTACTACAGGATGGTTTTTCTTAATTTTCTGTAGACAATTATTTATTGGGTAATAAATGTAGACGAGGAATAAGTGTTGAATCGTATGTGATGAATGTCAACGTGACTTTACAGATGTAATCAGCGTAAACAGTAGGACGTTGTTCTGAAATCATTGGAAGATTTGAAGAAAGCGCCCAGTCTTGTACTGGCCAGCCTATATATTATTTTTCTCCCTCTCCTAGCCAAAAGTATGTACCTCCTGGTCGGTCTGCTTGGCAAGAAAGAGTCTCTTTTGTTCACAGTCGAGACACGACTTTTTTCGTTTCGAGCCGAGACCAATTAACCTAAGTTTAGTGTCGCAGCAGTATTTTATGGAGTTGTGTGTTTACGAATAACAAGATAGTTGAGGATATCGTACAGTGACAAAATCAAAACAAAGTAACAAATAAATACAACGGCGATCCTCCGTAATTAAAAAATAATAAATCATTGTTATTTTTTTGTTTTTCTTTTTTTTTTGTTTGATGGAGCGGGGAGGGGAAAATCTTCATAGATACCCCAGCTAATCCGGTGGTAGTGTCGGATTCACCCGGTGTGCCTACCGACTAAAAACTAACCTCCCCGCATGGGACAGGTCCGT